TCCCTAGATCTTTCAGCTCTTAGTCGCTCGGATTCCTCCGATTCTCGGAAACGCAGAGAGCAGAGCCATCCAATTAGAATGAATTGGAGGCTGGACATACTCGACTCGGCTCAGCGTCATTACCTCGAGTCTCTCTCTCTTTACCTATACCTACACCCACCCCTCATCTATAATACTTGTACCAATAGTTTGTACACAAGTACCTGTACGTGAGCATGGCTGCAGAGTATCTGACTAATACATTGCAGTGGGTATATGTACCAGGATGTATGTAAAGGTACGGAACGAGCGACCTTCCCCAAGCCCGAGGGAAGCCGTAGCATCGATCGATAAACAATAATTCGACATTTGCCTCCTCCGCGTCCTCTTCCTCTTGGACGAGATTTAGTTGGGTGTGCAGTAGCACCGGATATCGGGGCACACGTATACACGCTGCCAGTGCTCCTGATGCTGCTGCTGCTCGTTTGGCTGGAAAAGTAATTACCGATAACTGCTGTTCGCGCGATTGATGGACGGATGGATGGATAGATGGATAGGGTGGATGATGAAGCTTGCCCGCACGCAAGGGAACATCAGTTGTTGGCACATGATAAAGCATATTCTGTTTTGGAATTAATTTCCACTGGGTACATTTTTTCTCTATTAAAAAAAGGGTACAAATGGTAGGGTAAAACGTCCTTTAGTTAATTCTCGATACTTGTGATAGGGATATGATGAAGGTGGAATGAGGTAGAGGGAAATCGGTGAGTTGTTTGAGTCCTGATTAGATGTCTATGTACGTATAAAATCCAGGACTAACTCCAGCACACCACCCGTTCAAGTTGTCGAGGCAGAGGAGAAATAGCTAATTCACCAGAAAAATCAGTAGCGAAGACGAATGGTGAGACTTGAACGGACACCCATCCACGTGCTAACCGGACCAAATGCTGCTAAACTTGGTTGATCGACGTATTGCAACTCTCTCATCAATTTTTTAACCTCCCCTTTTGAAAAAACAAAGGAAAATTCGTTTATTTTCGCCATTTTTTTTGGGTTACATTTTTTTGGGCCCCCTTTATCCCCCCACAAGCAGCTCCCCCGTCTTGGCTTCGCCTGAGACTCACTAAATGGAACACCGTAATGTATTGACATGTAACGTGAAAAGTTTTCAGTTAAAAATTTTACATCTATTCCTGACACTTCTCAGAACAAAAGTCGTCTTATTAAAAACACATTTGTTCGGAATCTACTCAGTTTATTTGGTCAAATTATAAGCTGTAAAAAGCAAAAAATATGATTATGCTGAAAAGTATAACATGCGTTTCTTGTGCCTTCAAAAAAATTTTTCCTCTTATCTCACAACTTTATTACTAGAGAAACGAAGTCCTGGACCTTAATCTCTACATTTTTTATCACCACAAAAATACAAACACATATTCTATCTATTTAAAAATCTGGAAGATTCAAGAGGTTACTATGAGGGTTATAGTGAAAAACTGATCTCTCACTTAATAAATTCTTTATTTATCGATTTTGATGCTGCTTTAATCTCGATGAATGTTCAGCGTCATTTTCTTGACGCCTAAAATTGTATTCATTAGATGCATGTAAAGTTTTCCTTCCAATTCGACTTCTTGCGACTTTTAGCATAGTTAAAACTTTTTTGAGCCCTAAAGCCTATTTTTTTCAACTTTATTAGCGTGTAACATATTTTTTGACAAGGTAGTTCGACATCCGATGACCATGAAAAGGACCAGCGAGCTTCTTAAGTAAATTCTTTCTTGACTGAAGTTTCCAGCAATCGCGAATGCCTCTATACCTCAGGGTGATCTTCTCTAACCTGTTATACTGTTATGCGTACAACCACATTGATCGGGAGGAAAATTAAAACGTTTGAAGCTTTAAAGCTAGTTGTAGTGCTCTTTCCCAACGTCTCCTGGTATAACGTCTACAACGTTGGTGTCTAAAGCACCTTTTTTAGTTGCAGATTCAGTTGTTTTGGTGATCTAAGTTGGAGAAATTGGTTTGTGATGCTTGCCCGTTGGAGACTGTCCTGTTTACTAAAGTTTGTTTCTCTTTCATAGCTGTTAGATTCTCCCAGTGCAGACCTTGAGAGAATCGGTGATTCCTGGTTGAATGCTTAGAGTTAAGAGGGCAATATAGGGTCGTCGGTCACTGGGGTTCCCAGCCTTGTGAAGAACAACTCTGCTCGTGACGACTGCCAGTGAATGACTGACGAATCGTTTCTGAAAATGGTAGTAAAAATGTATTTGTTGGCAAGGTAGTTGACACTTAGGTGGCTTCTAAAAAGGACCGATGAAATGGATGGTTAAGTAGGGAACGTTAATACTTAAAGTGGCCCAGAAAAGGGCCAGTGGTGAAACTTCCTGCTATTCCTTATCATTATTCTTGATGATGGAGAGCTGGTTGCAGGTAGCTTGACTCTTGCCCTCGAAGTCTCTGCGTACGGAGACCGTATAGGAGGGAGGCACGCTGCTGACCAAAGAATATCTCGTCTTCGGGTTGTTCCCCGGATAACCAACCGCTCATCATTAGTCGGGAAAGTGGGCCTGGAGAATACCTTCTCTGTAAGTATGTCGTTGGGACGACCACTGAGAAGGAGGCCGTTGTGGCTGCCCGCACTCCTTAGAGTTGTTTTCCCTGGATTGCTGTTGTAGCAAAATCTGCTCTGGTAGCCCCATGATGTCTGGAAGAATGGCCATAAAATATCGAAACGCTAAAGCAGAATGTGCTTTGGCTAAACATGTCCCCTGGTATTCTGCCAGAGACGTCAGCATGTAGAACATCTTTTTATTGGTGGCACTCGTCACTCTTGGTGGTTTGGGATGGAGTTCGACGTAAGTCGCTTGTCCATCAGAGAACAGTGTTGCCGGACGCCGGGATACCCAGCTGCGCGACCACCAGCACTATGCCTCTTGCACTGCATGCCGATGATTGACTGTGTTGTTCAGTACTTTGCTCGGGGATACAATAACCAGACTTACTTAATTATATTACAGGTAGCTTTGATTTTACTTCTACACCACCTAGCGGATCTTACTGAAGTGAAAAACTAGCGTATTTTTACAAATCTTTGATCTTATTTATTGCTATTGTTATTTACTTTTTGAAGAAAAAAAACTATGCGAAAACCATCTCGGAATTATCAAGAATCAGTATGCAAAATTTCAGCAAAATCGGTTCAGTAGTTTTCGTGGTTAGCGATTACAACGGTTTTAGCGATTTTGCTTTATATATTAGTATTAGTAAGATAAGATAAGAAGATAAAATTTTAAACGCATCCGCACCTACGACTTAAGTTAGTACTTAGATTCTCCCCTCCTTATGCACAAAGTTGCTTTGTGTACATTAAAGAGATAGAGATGTTGTTTTGGTACAGATTACTTTTTTATGTAAATATTTTCTAACTATGCGTGATTATTGTAAACATAATATGGTGAAATTTTAGTTTTACACTTGTGTTTACCAGAAAATGCCGATCTTTGCGGATCTTTGCTTATATTGTACAGAATCACCTGATAATTATCCAAACGAAATAAATTCAATATAATATCTCACTTTGTTAACCCAATGGTTTTTCCATTACTGTTTCCATTAGAAGATTTGGGATGGAGTGTTAAGTATTCAAAAACTAGTATATATAAAAATAAAAAGCACACTTGTAAAGACACGTTTACATACCTAATCTGAACAAAATTTTAAAATACTTTAAAAACAACTGAAAACTACTTAAAATAAAGTGTTAGAAAAGCTTCATTAAGTACAGGAAATTGTTAGTAGTGATTCTAATACCTTTCCAAACCTTAAAAAAAGCATAAATTTTTCTGTCTTATACTATGTTTACGTATATCAAAGGTCCAAAATACGGGCAACAACAAAACCACCAAGACACAATACAAATAAAAAACACGTAAAAGACCAGATTTGGGTAAGGGTGTTTAGTAGGAAAAGTTTGAATTTCGAATTGAACACAATCTTAAATCCTTTTGTTAACAGCTACAGTATATTACGTCACTACAGGGGAAGTCTTTGTGCTCAAGTTCAAGTCTTCCCGTTGTGTAAATTTCAAGACATAAATATCGAAGAAAAAACGATTCTTGAATCTGCTAAGGTCCATACAGATATATGTACAGAAATCACATGATAGTGCTAAAATTTTGAAGGTTCATACAAATTATAACAGAAAATTTAACTAAATATTAACATGGATTCGAAGAAAATCATATAGTTGCGAAATTTGAATTGCAATGGATACTATAGCTATTCAAGGTATTATTCTATAAAATTTTCAATCCTTTTCCCTTGAGTTTCTTATTTTTCTACAAACAATCACTGCGTTTGTGATACAAGTTACCACAAGTTGCAGTTACGTATTACGTGAACTGTAGGCATTACATGAATTATTGAATGAATGTTTAGTAAACGCGTAAATCAATAAATCCCTTTATATATTTCGTCAATACAAGAGAGAATACTTATAGGAATTTTTTGACATACAACGCCTTTTTGTGCAATACATTTTATTTATTTCAATCATAGTATGTTTTTATTATCCTAGTTTTGTCACAGGCAACACAAGCCTAGCCGTCTACGGCGTAAAACCTTTTAATAGGTTGCATAAAAAAATTATTCTGATAATCAAAATCTTAAATTAAAAAATTCTTGCATCCGCATAATCCAAAGACTTAACTGAGTATTGCATACGCATGATCCATCAATGCCCAGATGGTCTGAGACCACGAATCTAATGTGCTTGGGTTGTTTATTTATAAAATGCGAATTTCAAAGCCTTTATATAATGACTACGAATAAATGAAAAAGTAAAACAGATATCAATCGTCTGACTCTTTTTTGAATAATCGATTGAACAAATCAAAGTTTTTTTTATATAAATGAGAAAGCCTAGCTTATTCAAAAAATTCAGGAGAAATTACCCAGCTGTATGCATTTCACAGAATAGTCTGGATTACGCGAGCAAGCAAAAAAAGAAAGAAACATTTTCATTTGACGATTTTCTCAAAGTAAAGTTTCATGCCATCCACTCCGCCGGTAAACGTGTACTTGGGATCCAGGATCAGTTCCTCCTTTGGATTTCTCATGACGATATAGTCCCGTAGGATTATAGCCAGTGCCACTTTGGAGTGCAGCTCACCTGATTTTACACCTGCAACGATGAAATAACAATCAGGTGTCAATCGATTCATAGAACGACAATAATAATTTGGCTTGTAAATGTTGTATCGAATGGATTATTTTTATCATAAATGTGCAGAGTACATGTACTACGTTAAGGAAGGATTTCTTTTTATGTGCCCGACTGGACCCACGATTGTTTTAATTTCGCACAGTATGAGCGCTGTATCCTTCAAACATAAGGATTTGGTAAAATTGTGCTAGAGACATGTTTTACCACCCTCACCTGTCTGGAAGTGGTTTTTTTCTTTCGATTGCACTGGAAGAAGCTTTTACTTCCTAACGGGGAAAACGTGAAAGTGACTCGTTACCTGCGCCGAGTATAACGAATATTGGGTACTTTGCCGCCTAAGGTGTATAATGTTTAATGTCCGAGTTGTGACGAAAAATGTGTTTAGAAGTCTGCCGCTTGGAGGGAAAAAATCTCAGTATACCTACGTTTTTCTCTGTAATGGTATGACCATATTTATCGACTATGCGTAAGTACACGTTATCAATCGCGTTAAAGATATTTCGTCGATAAATTTGAATGGCTATTGGCTCAAAATATTTGTTTTTATATTCACATTACAGCTCAAAAAGAAATTCTTCTGTTACCAATTTCTATGAAATTGTTGACTTTTATTTTTTTCATTAAAAAAAAAATCCTTAGACTCCGACATTAAGGTTTATCAATTTTTTTTTTTTTTTTTTTTTTTTAATCCATAAAGGATTTCTCTACACTCATGGGCTCTATGTCCTTAATTGGTATCTATAACACGTCTGTACGTCGTGTATTTAACATTTTGTCACGAAAACCAGGGCGTGAAAGTGTTGCGACATAGTCTCTTATCGGGATCAGTAATTAAATTATATTCAAACTACCATTTCAAAAAATCAAAACTTTTTATAAGCAGTAAAATTTCTCCTTGTTGAAAATAAGTTAGTNGAGGCAAGCTGGCAAAAGAGGAAAAAATTACTATTTTTAACAGTAAAAACTATTGTTTTAACTTTAATTTTTACTTTTTAAAACATAATTGTAACTATTCAAACGATAATTTTTAGTGTTAAAAATTATAACTTTTCCTTTATTGCCAACTTTTACCCGATTTACTGTGCGGAATGGTAATTTTTGCTAAAATTTCTCCATAATTTTTATTATTGCTTTCTCACAGTGTAGGGCACAGAGTCTTATACTATATACGATTAGCTATTGAAAGTTCCCGTCCATCACCTAATCACGCATAAATCGCTCATATTGTTCTATCGTAAAAAAAATCCACACATGCAAAGACACGAGTCCAATAAAAAAAAGCGGCAGGATATCGAACAAGTGCAAAACAAGCGCCGCTAGTCGATCTCTCGCACCGATCCCGTTCGTGTCGATTTAACGGTCCCCTGCGATGTACTTACTTCGACACAGTTTTACACGATGGCACGCTCTATACACGCTTCCACAGTTTTCTATACAAGCCCATACACACACACACACACACACACACACACACACAGAGGAGAGCAGCGTAAGTATATTGCGGGATTCGAACCAACTCGCTCCGGATCGCTTAGTTCGCTCTGTTTTTACCGTCGATTCAAAGAACCATATCTATAGATAAAAAACGTCAAATGGTTCGGTAATTTAAGAGTGAAAGATTTTCATAACGCAAACGAGGAAGGCAACAAACCGCTGTTGAATTCCACGAGGGAAAAACTCGAGCGAAATCGTAAATAACAAAAACAAAAAAGTACAGAGATCGGGAGCGCTTGTACATATATAAGTATAAAAAAAAAAATAACTATAAGCCTCAGGGTCGCAGTGTTCAACAGGTTGATTTCGGCATTCCAAAGATAAAACATAGTCGCCTCCTCGTGTGGAGGCTATAGACTCTACATGCGTGTATATGAGCAGCGTAAGATCGGCAGGAGGAGACACTCGCATCTCTCTCTTCGCGTTCAGTGGAGCTACTTTATACATGTATACATGTCGAACGCAAACTCCTCGGCAAAAGAAGGCCCCGGTGACCGACATTCCCCGTTTCCATTCTTCCGGATGCCCGCGGCGCTCTCTTTCTTTATATGTATGCTTACTGTCCTTCCCCCACTCTCCTTCCTTTGAAAGCTACTCTGCGATGCCGTACAAAAGACCCCGGTATGAGTATTTTACCTGAGAGTCCGAGAGAGGAGTCAACGATCGGATGATGTCCAACCGCGTCGCACGTCATGTATACAAATACGTATACACCTATACACTGACTCTTTTTTGCTTCTTCCTTTTTATTTTTCACCGCGATCCTTTTTATTTCCCTGTACACGTATAGTGTGCGCTCGCGTGTCTCGCGTCATCGTCTCTAGAATATCGGTAAGTACACACGCATCGAACGGAACTTGATGGGCTCTGATGATGATGATGATGATGATGGCTCTGCGTCGGAGTGACTATATGTTTATAGATCGTGAATGCCTTGATTATTTCTTCTTTTTTTTTTGTCTTTAATTTTTGGTATTTGCCGTGATTGATGGCTTTGAGTTTTCATGGGCAAACAGAACAATCTGGAAAATGGGCATGACAATAATTGTACTTATTGGCTGAATATATCGTTGATGATCAATCAATATCGTTAAAAACTGTACAATAAGATGATACATGTGTTAGAAACACTGTTTACACGTATAACAATATGTATAAATAAAAAAAATTAAACTAGAAATAATGTTCATTTTTATTGCTAAATTGTATTAGAATTTCGTTTTGAATCGATTACTATGTAGATTTTGTAGTTATATTAATTATTTAATCAAGTGCTTGTTTCTTTGGTTGAGATTTTTTTATCATTAGGCATTGATTGGGGTATGTGCCCTTGCTATATTCATCTGAATTTTAATAGCGCCACACACTCGTTGAACAATTTTATTAGACATTGCAATATATACTTTTCATTCAGCAACGCGTGTTGGCAGTTTTTGGCGGACTGTATACATGCTACCAGTGGTGACATCACTCGGACACCCCCGGGTCCAGGAGTACCCGGTCACCGGTCACCTTTACCCGGAGCAGAAAATAATTACGAAATTAGTCCACTAAGTGAGATTAATAAATAAAAAATACCAACTTAAAACTTTAATGTGGAATCGTGGTTGATAACATGTTATATTCATGATATTTTTTTACACTCTTTTACTCTTAAGTACACAATAAAGACAAATGCTTCTGAATCTTCGAATTAATCAAAGTTGACATAGTAAAATTTGAGGAAAAAAAAATCGAAGTAACTTTTTTTTGAGCCCAAATCTCGCAAATCTGAATCAACCGATTAAATTTACCCAGCCGTCGATTTCGGGCATTAACCATTTAACCATAAGTTGAAGGTACAATGTGATCGTGAAATTTTTTTGCAATGGAATTTTAGATGAAATCGCATAAGGATTATCACATCCGTTTGCAATTACAAATGAAAATTTTGCAGATTACGTAAAATAAGTTCAATCCTGAAAGTAAAAAATTTTCTATATCTAAAAAACTAACCGACACAATCAAATCGGCAGAGAATTGACTTTTACGTACATGAGCTGTTACTAATCTACTTTTAATTTTATGTCTATTTTCAAGCAATTACTAATTTAGAGTTTTTAGCTGATATGCTTTATGACACAAGTGTAAACTTAAACATGTGATCTACTCAGTTTTAATAAGTAATTCCCTCAAATAATCCACGTAACGATTCAATAAGAATTGTTCTTCTAAAGTAAAAAACGCCGATAAAAAAACATGTTCATAGATTAGAATATCAAATCTTGATCTTGATTCGTTCCAAAAAAACAAAAAAATCAAAATTATTTTCTTCCGATACAAGCATTAACGCGACACACATATCAGGAGCCCAGTTCTGACCTTGTTCTTCTATCCAACGTGGACCTGTCGCACCAAGGCATACAAATCTTGAAAAAAAAAGAAAGTATCCACATGTATATATGAAAAAAAGAGAGTTCCAGGCACACCTGCTGCTAAGTCCACGCGACCACCATCTCATTTGATGTACCCAAAAATATTTTACTCTATTCCTTGCAAGGTACACCACAAAAGTGTGTCTTGATCGTAAAATTGTAAACAGCACAGTATTGACCCAGTATGTTTGTAAGTAGATGAGAAAAATTACAAGCGTCGTAATGTTTTGCTTCATAGAGTCTTACGAGGCTGAAACAACAGTTACCTTATTACACGCTTGCTTAGCGATCTCGAGGATATATAATGTGTGCGGTAAGAAGTCTTGCAGGCAACGATGTTACATTTTCTTCGTTCCTGCTCGGCAAATTTTAACGGTATTGCGTAAGCGAGTAGGTACATAAGTAGAACAAAAAATGATCGCTCAATTGAGGCGGTAGTAAATGACTGGTGATTTTTATCCATATGCTTTTATTTAACTAACTTTTTTTTTATATAATTATATAATACAAAACGACCCTTTAGATTTAAAAACAAAATTCGTTTAATATACAAGGATGAGATGACGTGTAAAATACAAAAAAATGTATTTTGATAAGGTCTATCTACAACTTTAAAAAAAAAATGTTGTCTCCAAATGTAATGGAGACAATGTTAAATGCTATAAAACGAATTGGGGCTTCTGGTATCATTTTTTTTATTCATTCGAGTGTTGAGAAGGCAGTGTACAAAAACACTGTTTACAAAAAGCAAAGATGCTGACAAATTTTTTTTTCCTCTGATACAAACTATCTAAATGTAAACTCTCAGCTTCGATATTGAATCTGGAGCTACCAACAAAATTTGAGCCTACTCGGATTGTAATCACTTAAGTTAGTCGAAATACTTGATTACGTAGACACATTCGTACAGACATACACACATACACCATGCGACCAACTTGGGCCACCCTCATACTATGTGTAGGTTTAAAGTTTTGTTTGCATTGAAAATAGACGGTTTTTCAGTGGTCACACATTTTTCTCTGTCAAGACTGTCCTCCTTCTATAAAT